AGGATTATAAATACTTATAATATTAATAGTTGATACAATAATTCTTTTTTATTTCATATTATCTTATCTAATTTTTGTTGTTTGTAGAAGAGTTGTAGGGTTTACTTTATTACTACTGCTAATTAAATATGTTTTTAATAAGAAGATGTTTGTTCTGAAATGTGTCAGGAATATGTGTAAAATTTATAACTGAAAACTTTTCACATTACATGTCAACACGCTACGGTGTTCTATTTTGTAAATCTCGGGCAAAGCCCAGACGGGGGAGCCGCTAGTATATAGAGGGCTCGGTAAAAAACAGAGCCAACTTAGATACTTGGTGAAAAAAGAGGTAACTCGAAATTCAGGTTGAAAAAGTAGTCAACTCAGATTTGGCTTAAAAAAGGAGCTAACTCAGATTTGGGTTAAAGAAGCAGCCAACTCAGGAGTAATTTTTTTATCAAGTTTTGTCGAGGTAGCACTGAAATTCACAGTAAAGGTTTACCTAAATAACCGAACACAGATTTTTTAATAATCTAATGTTTCAGGAAAGTAATTTGTTATTGTAATGGAGTGTACAATACGTATTAAATTGTATACTTCAAAATTTTGCTGTAATTATAGGAGGAAGAGAAAACGTTAAATAAATATGACAATAATGTTGTATGTGAACGCACATATACACAAATATATTTTTAAAAATATGCAATTTTTGTGTATGATACCTTATTACTTTTGCACAAGAATATCCCAGTTCTTATAAAATTATTATAAAATAGTATATTCATACTAAATTTAAAAAAAAAGAAATCATTTGTAGTTGAAGTTCGTTGTTTTTTTAAGACGATGTTTCAAAACAAAAAAAAAAGTAAAATATGTTTTAAATAACATTTAAAATTAATTACGTTTACATTAGATTATTAAAAAATTATTGTTCATTTATATAGGTATACCTTTATTGTGAATATTAGGGCTTTCGTGACAAAACTTCATGAACAAAAATTACTCCCGAGTTGGCTGCTTCTTTTACCCGAATTTTGAGTTGGCTCCTTTTTCAAGCGAAATCTGAGTTGACTGCTTTTTCAACCCAAATTTCAATTTGGCTCCTTTTTTTCACCAAGTATCTGAGTTGGCTCTGTCTTTTACCGAGCCGACAAGATGTATATCTTCCTACATTATGTAGTCATTTGTAAGGGACTGTCAACGTCTCCCTTCCTCGGTCCCCCACGCTAATAATAATCCCCTCTCAGCCTCTCCTCAAAACAAGGAAAAAATGTATTTATTTCAATAGAAAATTAACCCAAAATAGCCCCTAAATGTCATGAATTACCTGCCCTCGGCCCTCCCTTACATTTTTTACTCATTCTCCTTAGCCGCTCCTCAGCTCCCTCTCAAAACAAGGGAAAATTGTATTTTTTTCAATGGAAAATGAACCCAACAAAATTTTTGATTGCCCCCCCCCCCCCTCAGCCCTCCACGCCACCACTCAATTTGTTTTGTGCCTACTTGCCCCTCCTCATTCTCATTTACACTTTTCTAATCCACTCTCAGTCCCCCTCTCCCTCCCCTTAAAACCAAGGAAAATTGTTTTTATTTTAATGTGAAATTAACCCAATAAAATTTTCGATTACCCCTACTCGTCCCACTCACTGCCTCTCAATTTGTTTCAACGCCTGCTCAACCCCCCTCCTCATTCTTTTCTCACGCTTTTTTACCTTCCCCTCAGCCCCCTCTCATAAGGAGTCAAAATATTCTTTATTTGCGTGTGAGATTTATTAAATATCAATCCTGGTCAATGGTTCATCGATTTATTTTTTCCGCACTGCCCATGAGGAAAATATTGTATCTATTTCTTCCACTTCACCTATGAGGCAAATAGACAGGCGCGTTGATTTTTTTTTGTTGTTATTATGTAAGCGTGTGTACGACATGATTTACGAAAGTGTAACTGTAAAATTTTATATTATGGTAAAACAATAACAACAGTAGAGATTATCGCCAATCAGTCTTTTTGTGAAACCATAGAAATGTACCTTATATGAAAAATGACATTCATAATAAAATATATAAATCGAAAGTACTCCATGAAAAAATTTTGTGACATAAACAGAGGTGGCAATTCGTAAGCATTAGCAATTTGCTGGTAGAATATAATAAGACTATAAAAAAAATTTTCAGAAAATACAATACTTTTTAAAAAAATTTTACATTATGTTACGTGTCCCTTTATTTTCCCATATATACNTCCTACGTTATATCTAATTGGTCAAGATAAAGTCTGAAAACTAACACAAACATTTTTAAACATTTCTTTTTACATAATATATATTATATATTTGTAGCACTTTTCTATGGTTACGTAAAAAGCAAATCAGCCTTCTGAACTACGGAGAGACAAAGCTGCAGATAATCAATACAAACAATGACGAAGTCAATTTATCTATAATTGAAAAATTTCATTCCAGAAAATATTTTTTATCTCATGTTAATTTTTGTTTTGCACGAAAATGTCATCCTTAGTTTTACATCTTGATAAGGCAACGTATAATTGACCATGTACAAACATGGTTTTTTAAACTATTAAAGTCTTGTGGAAGTTGGTTATAGGGATTAGCACATCATATATATATACTAAACACCACACTTCCTAATACTATATATGTAGTCTATAGCCATTAGCATGTTTTAAGTATCATAAAAAAGTAAAGATACACTGCTTGTTCCAATTGTTAGATTCGAAAGTATACAAACGACGTTTTTAGCAAAACTTGCTCGTGATATACATGAACGAATCTCATTGTACTGGCACCCCCCATGCCATAAGAGTACAAGACCTACTCCTGAATGGTAATTAAAAGAGGATGTAAACTGGGGCCAAACTTGGCTGCCATGACGTCTACCTTTGCCTCAGCTTGGCACTTTACTTGGCCTACAAGGCTCATAATAAAATAAATAAAATGAAGTAGTTGTATAAAACCTCACAACTCTTATTTTGGGATAGAGTAAGTGGGGGGTTGGCACAATACGCGCAGGGAAGGCGAAGGCCCACTAGTGTATATATACCGAAGCCCCTAAATTTTTGAGTACAAAATTCCTTAAGTTAAAATAAATGTTAATACGATTTTTAACTACATATTAATCATCTATTACTGCATTATTTTTAACATGCATAGGCTCAAATTTCACCTGCTAAGCAACCGCAGTATTAATTAACGCATTTACAAAACATAATCAGTTTTAGACTTTCGTGTATTGTCACTTATTAGTCTAGACAAATGAAGCCAAATTAGTGCGATGCCATAATTTTTGATATTTTAATTTTATTGTTAAATCCATGGCATTTAGAAAATTTATGAAGATAACTTTCTTGTTTAAATAACGCAAGTATGATAGAAAAAAAAAAAATTGCTGTCCATTGAAATATCAAAAATTGTTGTATTGCTTTAACTTGGTTCGATTAGCGTGGCTTAATTATTGACGCAAAATAAGAGTCTAATAGCGACCATGCGTTAATTAATACTACAGTTGCCAAGCTGCAGATTTAAATATTTTTTCAATCCAAAAGTTAACATTTTAAGACAAATTTTGGGGTTAAGTGAGTTGTAAATGATGCAGTAACAGCTGATTAAAACGTAGTTAAAAATCATGAAAACATTTTTCAAAATTTAAGGAATTTTTTACTTAAAAATCAATGGGGTTTTAGTGTGTACATCCTGATTAGTTTTTTATTCAAAACGTACAAAGGAACATTAGCCAAAGCAAAATTACTTTTAATTTGTTATTAAAAATTAATTTTAACAAGCAATTGATAATGAATTAAGTTCCAGAGTACGTTTTCTTCCTTTGACGCCTCTATTCTCACAAGGTGTTATTTATATTTTCTTATTTATTACTTATACATTTTTGAGTGTTAGACTTTATTTATTGCAATAAATAATGACAAGTACTAAGGGCTATGCTGTTCAAATTGACTTTATTTTAAAAAACGACGTTTCGACTACTCCAAGGCAGTCCTTATCAAGTCACTAAAAATTAATATACAGCAATGGTAATATAAATATGTATATAAAGATGTACACAACAGAAANCATATTTATATTACCATTGCTGTATATTAATTTTTAGTGACTTGATAAGGACTGCCTTGGAGTAGTCGAAACGTCGTTTTTTAAAATAAAGTCAATTTGAACAGCATAGCCCTTAGTACTTGTCATTATTTATTGTATTATTAGCTGTTCTTGGAATCAAACAATATCTTTATTTATTGCTATGATACGTTTATAGTCAAACTAATTTATTTACATACCAGAATGTTCAAGAGAATTCGAACGCTCAGATCTGCCAATTTTCTTCAGTAGCCACATCAAACAGGTCATATTGGTGAATCTTGACAAAATATATCTTAGTCTGTACTAGATAAATACCTTAATTCATCTGAAAAAAAATTTTTTTGTCAACTACTTCGAAAAACTTTACAATTTTTTTAAAGATGGCTGCGTCTTTTTGAAATAAGATTACTTGTATTGTAAATAAATTGTGTAAATAGCTCGCAAATATGTATTGTACGGATATTAATTAACATTTTAAACCCCTATTTCTCTTATATCTACAATTATTTACGTATTAAGGCATCAAATTACTTGTGACGAAAGGTTTTGGTTTATACGTAAGAACTAAGAATTTGTAGAATAAATTACTAGCAGATAATATTCAAAAGTGCATCTAGTGGTCAAGGATAAGACATACTTTTATATCTCCTCCAATTCCTACGCTTTTTTTCCAGTTGTTATTCCTGATAAAGTGGATCAATGTATGTACATAGCATTACAATACTGTTATTGAAAATATCAGTAAATCAACAAAATAAGTGACTGACCACTGCCAATTAGTTGACAAAAAGCTTTTTTAAACTCTATTCTGCTTTTTGTTTTGAAAAAAATGTAATATTTTCGTTATGTTTATGGATTGGTTTAATAAAAAAGCTAAAATTTGAATCGTTATTTTTATTCTGAAATTTTTTTTGCATTATACTCGAATAATTGTATAGTTACATTGACAAGTACTTCTGCTAAAAATTAAACCACATACTAAGCTATTATTCTCTCAAAAATACTTCCTACGTTATATCTAATTGGTCAAGATAAAGTCTGAAAACTAACACAAACATTTTTAAACATTTCTTTTTACGTGATGAGGTCTTGTTCGGCTATCTCTTAAGAAAAAAAAACTTTTTACTTATCTAATTGTAAGAGAAAAACTTTTTCTCAAATACGCTGCATATGAAGCTACTTAAAAAAATGAAAATAAAAGTAACATCAATTCTATCAATCTGAAAATTCTTACGACTATCATACTTATGACGAAAAATGATGCCAACAATATGCTTTATCTACTACAATTGTTTTGAAAATAATTTTTTTCAGCCAAAAAATTACTAAGAATTGTTATAATCTAAATAACATTAAATTAAAATTGTAAAAAAACCTTAATGACGTTATAACTGCTTATATACACGCGCGCGCGCACACACACCCACTTACGCACACACACATACACCCACAAACGACAGACGGAGTGAAACACTTGAAAACAAATTTACTTTTACTTTCAACTTCATACAGACTCAGAACTTTTTCTATGAGAAAGCAATAATAATGACATAGAAATCGAAATCTGAAGTTAAAACAATTTTGATGTAACAAATTTTTTTTTAATAATTCGAAATAAAATAGAAACAAAAATTTTTGGTACAATTTTAATAATAAAAATAGCAAGTTTAGAATACTTAAATTTATAACGGATGA